GAGAGAGAGAGAGAGAGAGAGAGAGAGAGAGAGAGAGAGAGAGAAAACACCAGGGGCAGAAATGATGGTTCCATCTCCCGCGCTTCATGAGCATGGTGGTGCCGTATACAATCTCGGCACTCCAGAGGTGGAGCAAGAGCATCAGAGGTTAAACATCATCCTCAACGGAGCAAGAGCATCAGAGGTTAAACATCATCCTCAACTGAGCTGCATGAGACTCTATCTCAGAAAGAAAAAAAACAGATTTGAACTGAGGGCTTGAGATGGCTCAGTGATAAAGTGATAAGGTGCACAAGGCTCTGAGTTCTATTCCAAGCACACACACCCACACACCCAACCTACCCACCCATCCTCAAAAAAAAAAAAAAACTGTATAGTTAAAAAAGAGTTTGAACTCCTGATCCTCCTGCCTCTGCTTCCTCAGTGCTGGGTGATGGTCCAGCGCTACTACCACACGGGGTTTATGCAGGAATGAGGTGAAAACCAAGACTTCATCAATGCTGGATGACAGCTCTAAGCCAACCACATCCCTGGCCCCTGTGCAAATGTTGTTCTAATAGTTGGTCCTTGGCCCCAAATCCTGACACAGAGCTCCAAAGACCTCAGGATTTCCTGCATGGCTCTGAATTTCCTGAGTGTGTCAAGGGCTGGTCACAAGGAAAAGTGAGCCATTGATTAGATTTCTGTTCCACTCCTCAAGCTCCAAACAAGAGAAGGCTTGAAAGTGAAGTTAATAATCAATCATGCTGTGTGGAAACACCTCCATAAAAATATTGAACTGTGAGGTTCAAAGAGTTTCCAGATTCCAAACACATCCGTGTGCCAGGAAGGTGGTGCATCCCTGTTGTGTGACACTTTTCCTGGGGAGATGTGAACAGATATCTACTCACCCCAGATAGAGAACTGCTACAGATCAAGTAACACCACCACCAGAGTCCATCTTGACAACCAATAGGTTTTCTGGGTTTCCTCACAGCGGCGTGAGTCTCCTCTCCTCGGCAGCACTTACTGCAGGGAGGGGCCCTGTCCTCTGATAGGTTTCAGGGATGCTGACGCTTGTGAGCCATTGACTTTCTGAATCTTAAGGAGCCTCCCTCCAGGAAGAGTATGGAGGTTAGAGGATGAACTCAGGTATCAACCCTTGCCTCACACCTTGCTTGAAACAGGGTCTCTCTGTCTCTCACTGCTGCTTACAGCCATAGCTGGTCTTCCAGGGTTCTCCTATCTCCCCATCTTACTGTGGGAGCTCTGGGATTGCAGACACACACTGTTACATCCAGCTTACTTGGTTCTGGGGATCTAAACTCAGACCCCAGACTTGCAAAGCAAGCTCTTTCACCCTGAGCCGTCTGCTCAGTCCTGTTCTTTAGTTTTCATTTCCTTGTTTATATTTTGAGACAGGGCCTTGCTATGTGTCCCAGGCTAGCCTCAAACTTGTACTGCAGCCCAGGCTGGCCTCAAGCTTATGATTATCCTGCCTTAGACTCTGTGGTAGTTTGAATGTAATTGGCCCCCATAAGCTCATAGGGAGTGGCACTATTAGGAGGTGTAGCCTTGCTGGAGGAAGTGTGTCCCTGTGGGAGTGGGCTTTGAGTTCTCATATATGCTCAAGCTACACCTAGTAAGACAGTTCACTGCCTGTTGCCTTCGGGATCAAGATGTAGCTCCTTCGCTCTCAGCTCCTTCTCCAGCACCATGTCTGCCTGCCTGTTGCCACATCCTGCCATGATGATAATGGACTAAACCTCTGAACTGCAAGCCACCCCAATTAAATGGTTTCCTTTAGAAGAGTCATTGTGGTCTCTTCATGGTCATTGTGTCTCTTCACTGCAATAGAAACCCCGGCTAAGACTCCTTCAGCAACACCAATCCTACATCATTTATAACATTCTAAAGAATAACCAAGAAATATAAGAAAAGTACTTCCCTTAGTACTTCCCAAGGAGCTAATGATCTAGTAAAAGTGGCTGAATAAAAAGAGGGGGTCACAGGAACCCTAATTTATTGCAGGTAAATCCAAGGTACAGGCACTAACATCCTGAGAGCATGATACATACCAGACATCACTGTGGGTAATTAGGTTATTGTTGTTGTTGTTCTTGTTGTTGTTTTTGAGACAGGGTTTCTCTGTGTTGCCCTGGCTGTCCTGGAACTAGATTTGTAGACCAGGCTGGCCTCGAACCCACTGAGATCTGCCTGCCTCTGCCTCCTGAGTGCTGGGATTAAGGTCATGCACCACCACTGCCCAGCTCAAGTAATTCATTTTTAATGGCTTTTAAATTTTTTAATTTTTAGTTCTTTGACCATTTCACATATGTGTGCATTTGACCATTTTCACACACACATACTCATCCTGCTGTAGTCCTCTCTCTCCCACTGAATGCCTTCTTCCTAACAAGCCCTGTCCTACTTTCATACCTCTCTTCCTTTGTGTGTGACTCACTGCATTTAATTAGGGTTGCTTGCATGAGCATGGGTGGGGATTGTATACTGGACTATCCAACACTTCTGGGGAGAAAAAGACTCCCTTTCCCCCAGCAATCATTAACAGCCAATAGCTAGTTGATGAGGGGTGGGGCCCTGTGAGTCCCCCACTCGCCCACGCTGAAACCCTGCTGAGTCCAGTCAAGTACAGGTAACTGTGCCTTCAGTGAGTTCAGTGGCCATGTCATGCCCAGAAGACAGCACTTCAGGGGACTCCTCCCATCGTCCGGCTGGTGCTCACGCTGAATAACTTAATTGTTGATCTTTCTGGTCATCATCACCATCCTGTGAAATAGACAGTGTTAGTATTGTCCCCCGTCTACAGATGGGAAAACTGAGACTCATATGGCTGTGTCCTCAACCTGTGGAACCAGATGTGATCTGCACGTAGACATGTCAGAACCGAATTGAATTAAATTACAGGACATCTGGCATCTGCTTGATTCATGAGGAATTTTCTCTTTCAGATCTGGCATCAGATGTGTCGTGTTGAGGACTAGTGAGACGGTTCATGAGATGGTTCAGCAAGCAAAATTGCTTGCCATGAAGCCCGATGACCAGAGGTTGATCCCTGGGACCCACACGGTGGGAAGAGAGAAGCACCTCCAAACAGTTGTCTCTAACCTCCACTTGCTCACAGTGGCATGCACTCATACACACCCAAGCACACACGTGTGCAGGCTCACACACACGATATTTGTTCTGTGTGTTACACTGAAGCCAAGCATGATGGCACATGCCTATAACTCTGGGATTTAGAGGTTGAGGTAGAAGGAGCTAAAGATCCAGCCTCAGAATCTGACATCCCTTTTTGCCTCTGTGGCTACCAGAAAAGCAAGTGGTATACAGACACACATACAGGGCAAAACACACCCATACACATAAAATAAATTTTAAAAAGATTTAAAAAAAAAAAAAGATCCAGCCTCAGCTACAGCTTGAATTCAAGGCTAAAATGGGCAACCTAGTGAGACCTTGCCACAAAATACAAATTATAGAAAGGATGGGGGTAGTGCTTACTAGCCTAATATGCACGAGGTCTTGGGTTCAAGCCCTAATATTGCAGAAAGAAAGAGGACTGTTCTTACAAAGGACCCCCCTGGTGTCCCATGCTCCAGCACTGCATAACCCAGCATGGTAGCACATGCCTGTGACCATAGCACTTGGGTGGTGAAGGCAGCAGAATCAGAAGTCCGGGGGCATCCTTGGCTACATAGGGAGTCTTAGGCCAGCCTGAGATACATGAGACCTGCTTGGGGAAAAACCATAAAACAGAAAGGAATGAAGAAGGAAGGCAGGAAGGAAAAAGAAGAGAGGAGAGAGGGGGAAAGATGGCCACCAAGGCTGACAACCTGAGTTCCATCAGAAACCCACACTGTAGAAAGTGAGGACTCCTGCAAATTGTCCTATGGCCGCCAGCTGGAAACATGGTTTATGTAAGCACTCCCCCCCCCCACAATCACACACACACAATCACACGCACAATGACTCAATCAATGTAAACTTTTTTTTGTTTTTTTTGTTTTTGTTTTCCGAGACAGGGTTTCTCTGTGTAGCTTTGCGCCTTTCCTGGCACTCGCTCTGTAGACCAGGCTGGCCTTGAACTCATGGAGATCCGCCTGCCTCTGCCTCCCCAACTCACAAAGATCCGCCTGCCTCTGCCCCCTGAGTGCTGGGATTAAAGGCATGCACCTCCGCCGCCTGACCTATGTAAACATTTTTTAAGAGAAGAAGGAAAAAGAAAAAGAGAAGGGGAGAGAGGGAAGGGGTGGGAGGCAGGAAATGTGAGTGGCGTGAGAAGACACTCTTGGCCCACCTCGCTGGTGTTTCACGTCAGCCTTTACCGATGCCCCCTAAACTGGGTTAAAGGCGTCAACAGCCGCCTAGGGTCCTTGCACATGAATCTCAGGGTATGACCATGCAGCTCCTGGGGGTAGACCTTGTCAGCAAAGTGATGGATGGAGGAAGGTCACATGACCAAGAGTCCTTACCTAGACCGGCCTAGGGTGGAGTTCCTCATGCTGGTGCTGCTGGGGTTCCTCACCTTAGACTTCACATGGTTTAACTTCCTCCTCTCAGTATGAGAGCCTGTTGGAAAACATAGAGAGAAACAGCTAAGTGTTCCAACAGGGGCTGGAGAGATGGTTCAGTGTTAAGAGCACCTGCTTGCTCTTCCAGAGGACTGGGGTTGAATTCCTAGCACCCACAAGATGGTTCACAACCATCTACAACTGCAGTTACAGGAGATCCGACACCAGGCCCACTTTTTGTGCACATACATAAAAGCAAACTGCTGTGGGATGTTCTGTGTGTCCTGTGGGAGCCCGTTCTTGGGTTCCTCATGGCTTTACCCAGCAGGTCCGCCTAGAGGATGATTAGGACCACGGCCTGAGTGCAGGTGTCTGAGATGGTCTGCACTTGGCTGTGCTGGGGGATGGTCTGTATGTCAAGTTGTTCTGATTGGTCAATAAATAAAACCTGATTGGCCATGGCTAGGCAGGAAGTATAGGCGGGACTAACAGAGAGGAGAAAAGAAAGAACAGGAAGGCAGGAGTCACTGCCTGCAGCAGCCACCAGGACAAGGAAGATGTAAAGTCCTGGTAAGCCACGAGCCACGTGGCAAGGTATAGATTTATAGAAATGGACTAATTTTAGCTATAAGAACAGTTAGCAAGAAGCCTGCCACAGCCATACAGTTTGTAAGAAATATAAGTCTCTGTGTTTACTTGGTTGGGTCTGAGCGGCTGTGGGACTGGCAGGTGACAAAGATTTGTCCTGACTGTGGGCAAGGCAGGAAAACTCTAGCTACAGCAAACACTCATATATAAAATTAAAATAAATGGATTTTATTTTATTTTATTATTTTTTTTTCCAAGACAGGCTTTCGCAGTACAGCTCTGGTTGTCCTGGAACTCGCTCTGTAGACAAGGCTGGACTCAAACTCACACAGATCTGCCTGTCTCTGCCTCCCGAGTGCTGAGATTAAAGGCAAGTGCCACCACTGCCCCACTTGAATTAAGCCAATCTTAAAATGGAAAATGTTTTGTTTTTTTCTCGTTTGTGGTTCCTACAGTTTATATAGTCTAATAAAATCATGTCTATGTCCATTAAAGTAGAAATAAAGTGAAACTCTCCAGGGATAATGGGATAAATGGGAGGAGATGGGAGGAGAAAATCTTTTTCATTTTTCCCATTTTGTATCTATGTTATGTGTAGGATAAAAAGGGCCAAGAAAAGAACATCCTGACCCTGACTTGACCCCCAAGCCTGAGACAGGGTCAAGAAAAAGAATTCCACCAATCCTTGAGCTTGTCCCAAGATCAGACTACAAAATTCCCACCAATCCCAGGACACACTGGAAAGCCGCCCCTCCCCTCCAAAAAACCCTACATAACCCTGTCTCCTACCCATTCCTGCGGCTTCTTGCCCAAGCAGAGGCAGCCACCCGCCCTCCTGTGTCTTTCCAAATAAATCTTCTGTGTGAGGTTTGTTGAGCCGTATGACTTTGAGGTATTTCTTGGCTCCCAACTGTCAGGATACCTTTCTCCTCTGAGTTGTAACATTTTACAGTGTGCATGTATGTGCATGCATTTTTTCCTCATGTAGGTGCCCATGCATGTGGAGGCTCCCAGTTCTCAGAAATTATGCTCTGTTGCTCCATTGAGGTATCCTATCCATTGAGGTAGGGTCTCTCAATCAAACCCAGAGCTGCCAGCTTGTGAGGTGGGTCCTGTGTCTCCATGCTCTGAGGCTGGAATTACAGGAAGACTACCACACCCACTCAACATTTACATGGATTCCTGGGGATCCAAACTCCAGTCCTCACACCTGTATGATTAGTACTTGAACAGGTGAGCGATCTCCCTAGATCTCCCTGAAAACAAACCTAATTCATTAATTAAAACAAGGATGTACCGGAGAGACACTCAGTGGGGTAAAGTGCTTGTCATACAAGCATGAAGACCTGAGTTCCGTCCTGAGCACCCATGTAGGAATCCAGGTGTGGTAGGTATACACTTGTAATCCCAGCACTGATGAGGCAAAAATCTCTGCAGTGCGCTGCCCAACCAGCCTAGCCTAAGAAGCAAGCCCCAGATCCAGTAAGACACCTGGTCTCAAAAGACAGGGTGGAGCCAGGCATGGTGGCACACACCTTTAACTCGAGCACTTGGGAGACAGAAACAGAGGCGGGCAGCTCTCTGTGGGTTCAAAGCCAACCTCTTCTACATAGTGGGTGCTAGGACAGCCCAGGGCTACATAAAGAGACCCTGTCTCAAAAAAAAAAAAAAAAAGAGACATAGAGGCCTGAGGAGATTGGTCAGTAGGTAAGAGTGCTTCCTCTGCAACCTTGACGACCTGAGTTTGAACGTCACGCACTGTGCAAAAATGAGGCATGTTTCACGGCACCAGCAAGCTTTCAGAGGAGGAAAGCAACCACCAGCCCTCTCCAGGCTGGTCAGCCTGTGAACCACAACAACAGCCTGCACAGCATGGTCACCCAAAGCGGGCAGGAGTAACACACATACCTTGGTGGCAACCAACAACTCTCTAATCGGACTTTAGAACTTCTCAAAGAGAGGGAAATCATGCCTGGTACTGGAAACTTCGGCAAACTGCCCAGTGAAGTCACAGATCTTGGAAGAGAACCTACAACCCCCGCTTTACCACACCAGCATAATCCCTAAGTACATTCTAAGTATCTGCCCTTATACCCACAGAGAGGTGCAGTTCTCACCCCTCATCAAGGAAACTTCTTGATGCAACTGATGGAGACCACTTCAGAAAACCACAACCAATCAAAATGCAGAGTTGTGGAGCCCAGTCCCAGTGGATACATCTACAACATGACTCCTGCCCCAAAGGCTCAGGAAACATTGTGGAAGAGCAAGCAGGAAGATTTTTAAGAGTCAGGGGACCAGGCAGTTTGCAACAATAGACATACTAATGTAGATGGAGGCAGGTGGAGTCCAAGAGGCCTCAACCTTAGACTACTCCCCTTCTGAGAGCGGGAGAAATAGTCTTCCCCATGGAAGAGCACTCAAATTGGTTATCGACTACAAAATGGAACATACACATAAGTGATATTATACAGACTGATCAGGTTATATTCATGTGTTTAGGAATTTATGTATTACATAACAATTAATGAAAAAAGAGGCCATGAATTTGAAAGAGGGCAAGAGGGCATGCAGGAGGGTGAGGAGAGAGGAAAGTGAAAGGAGAAATTATGCAATTATTATGATCTCAAAAAATAAGGGAAAATTTTTTTTGTTTTTGTTTTTCAAGACAGGGTTTCTTTATATAGCCTCGACTATCCCAGAATTAGCTCTGTAGATCAGGGTGGCCTGGAATTCACAGAGATCTACCTGTCTCTGCCTCATCAGTGCTGGGATTAAAGGCATGTGCAACTATATTAATAAGAAAAATAAATTAGTTTTCTTTTTTTTTTTTTTTTTTTTTAGTGAGGCATGGCTGTACATGCCTATAATTTTAGTTTGGGGAAATGGAGATAGGCACAGCCTAAGAGCCCACAGGCCAGTGCCAGTCATCCTAGTCAAAATGGCAAGCTTCCAGTTTAGTGAGAGACCCTTTTTCAAGGCAGTAAAGACAGGAGAGCAATAAAAGGTTTGACCACCACATGCACAACTGCATACTCATGCATGCAGCACACACACAGAGAAAATAAAATGGAATGGCTAGAGAGGTTTCTTAGTGGTAGAACACTTGTGTAGCATATCCAAGAGCCTGGATTCAGTGCACAGTACTGAAGGGAAGAAAGGGAAAAGCTCTTGGGGGAGGACACCTCAGGTTGATGCGATTGATTAGCTATTCATTCCATCTCTGACTCACTAGCAAGTGACTCTTGGAAGAAGGCTAGCAGCATGTTAGAATGCTGAGCTGTTTTCCTCCCTGAGCTGTTGGCTGGGGTCTTACCTACCTGAGGTGGTCTTCTGGGGATTGTCAACTGGCTTGTTCTTAGCTTTCAAGATCTCCATTGCCTTCTTCACATCCTTGTCCTCTGGGTTCATACACACCTTGCCTTTCTGGCGGAAGTGGAATCTACAGAAGGTGGAAAGGTGGATGCCAGGTTAGGGCATGGAGGATCTAAGGTGTTCATGACTCTCACCCAGCAACACGAAAGGTCCTGCTCACATCACAGCACGTAGGTTGCAGCTTCCACTCACTTCCTGCACGCGATAATGCCTAGCGTGCTGGAGGATATTCCATTTGATCCTGGGTTGGTGACCCAGGCAGCAGTCTTCAAAGGCACCTACAAAGGCAAGTGAGATGGCTCAGTAAAGGGTAAAGGTGCTTGCCACCTAAGTTCAATCCCCAGAACCCACATAGGAGAGAATCACAAATTATCATCCCCTGACCTCCATAAACATGTAGCACATGCGCGTGTGTGCGCGTGCATGTTGTGTGTGTGTGTGTGTGTGTGTGTGTGTGAGAGAGAGAGAGAGAGAGAGAGAGAGAGAGAAAGAAACTGGGTCATAGGCCCTAAATGAAAACCTAATACTATTATTCTAATAAGTAGACATAGTAATAAACTGTCTTTACATTCTTATCCATATACTCATAAGTTATACCCTCATCAGTGAACTTTTGTTGTTGGTTGTTTTTGCTTTTTTGGGGGGCCTGCCACCCAGTTCCCAAATAAATCATACACGGAGGCCTATTCTTAATTATAAATGCCCACTCTTAGCTTGGCTTGTTTCTAGCCAGCTTTTCTTAACTTTAAATTATCCTGTCTACCTTTTACCTCTGGGCTCTTTCATTTTCTTACTTCTGTAACCTACCTTCATTCTTACTCCGTGGTTTGCTCTGTAGCTGGGTGGCTGGCCCCTGATATCCTCTTCCTTCTTTTCTCTTGTTCTTTCTTTTTGCTCCTCCCAGATTTCTCCTTCTATTTATTCTCTCTGCCTGCCAGCCTCACCTATCCTTTCTCCCTTGCTATTGACCTTTCAGCACTATATTAGACCATCAGGTGCTTTAGAAATGCCAAGTAACACAGCTTCACAGAGTTAAACAAATGCTACATAAAAGAATGCAGCACATCTTTGCATCATTAAACAAATGGTCCAGAGCATAAACAAATGTAACACATCTTAAAATAATATTCTACAATGGCTTCTTTTTATATTAGATGGCAATTACCCCAAAGACACACAACAGAACAACATTCAGGGTAAGGGACCATGGAATTTCCAACTATAAATGAGACATCTATATCATACTTCCTTACCACAAGGTTCAGGGATTATCTCAGAAGAGGGGGCAGAAAAATTGCAAGACTCAGAGGAAGACATCTTCAAAGCAAGAGTATTTGCTGAACATGATGAGAACATTGCAAGCATCAGTCATAGGAGCCGTGATGCATGCACAGACCCACACAAGATCAAGGCAGTCAGAATCTCATCATGGGTGGGTGGAGGGAACTTATCTGACAAGCTATTGGAAATTGATGGTTGCTAGGAGAGGCTTGGTTTTCTTCAGGGACATGATCCCAGAAAGATTACCCCAGCTCTAATATATGATCCTTCAGCCATACACATACAGACAGCATTCAGTGGACTAAGTGGGTTTAAAAACAGAACATTAAGTCAGGTGGGGGAAGTGGTAGGGAGATAGGCGTGATATAGAAGGAAAGGGAATAAGGAATAGATTTGATCAAAACATATTTGCATATATGAAATACTCAAAAATAAAAAAAAATCACAAAAAGGTACCTGCAACTAGATGACCCAGCCACATCCATGATTCCAGGGGCACATTACTGGCAGGGACAATCAAAGATGTGAGCATGGCGCACACACGTACACCACCTTCTAGATACAGAGGTCAACAGGCTACCTGGGAGATAAGGAAGCTTCCTGGCTTGCTCTCAGCTCTTGATATAAGGACACTGGCAGGAATTGTAGAGTGCAGGTAGGCAAAGAGACATCCCAGGGGCCTTTCTGTTTCTGCTCTGAGGTAGAGGACAGGTGCACACTTGCAGATATCGAGGCACATGCACATCTGTAAGCCCTGCAGTCCAGATGCTGGTGCAGATGATCATGAGTTTGAAACCAGTCTGAGCCACTGAGACCCTGTCTCACAGCACCACCTAAATTTTGACTAGGACTATAACTCAGTTGGTAAAGTGTTTGCCTAGCTTGTATGAGCCCCTGGGTTGGATCCACAGAACTACATAAACCAGGTGTGGTAGTACATGCCTGGAATCCTAGCTCCTGGGAAATGGAGGCAGGTAGATCAGAATTTCAAAGTCAGCTAGGTAGCAAGTTAGAGACCAGCTTGAAATATATGAGACCCTATCTTTTGTTTTGTTTTGTTTTGTTTTTGAGATAGGGTTTCTCTGTAGCTTTTGAGCCTGTCCTGGAACTCACTGTGTAGCCCAGGTTGGCTTCGAACTCACAGAGATCCGCCTGTCTTTGCCTCCCGAGTGCTGGGATTAAATGCTGGGATTAAATTCCGCCACCATTGGGCGAGATCCTTTCTTAATTTTAAAAATGAAAAATTAAGCCGGGCGTTGGTGGCGCACGCCTTTAATCCCAGCACTCGGGAGGCAGAGGCAGGCGGATCTCTGTGAGTTCGAGGCCAGCCTGGACTACCAAGTGAGTCCCAGGAAAGGCGCAAAGCTACACAGAGAAACCCTGTCTCGAAAAACAAAAAAAAAAAAAAAAAAAAAATGAAAAATTATAATCCCAGTACCCAGGAGGCAGAGGCAGGTGGATCTCTGTGAGTTCGAGGCTAGCCTGGTCTACAAAGCGAGATCCAGGAAAGGTGCAAAGCTACACAGAGAAACCCTGTCTCAAAAAACCAAAAAAATAGAAAAAAAGAAAAAAGAAAAATTAGCTAGGCATGGTGGCATACAACTTTAATGCCCAAATTGCAGTAGGCAAGAAGCAAGCAGATTGCTGAGTTCGAGGCTATCCTGCTCTACAGAGTGAGATCCAGGACAGCTAGGGCTCCATAGGGAAACCTCGTCTCCAAAAAAAAAATTTTTTTTAATGAAAAAAAAAAATTAAAGGCCAAGTATGATAGCACATGCCTTTAATTCCAGCACTCAGGAGGCAGAGGCAGAAGGATTTCTAAGAGTCTGAAGACAGCCTGGTCTACACAGTGAGGTATATATACATAGTGGGACCTTTTCTAAAACACACACACACACACACACACACACACACACACACACACACACACACACACACACCTGGGGCCAGAGAGGCAAAGGCACTTGCCACCAAGTTCTAATAACCTGAGTTTGATCCTGAGGACCCACATAGTGAAGGAAAGAACCAACTCCTGTGAGCTGTCCTGTTGTCTCCACATAAAGTAAATAAATAAATGGATATATGTAACTAGGATAAATAAACAGACAGATTACTTAACTTTTCTGAAGATCTCAGCTATGGTCTGGCCTGTCCGTGCATAATACCAGCTTAAATTCCTTTTCCTTCCTCTACCCATCTGAATAACTGCTAAACTGACCTGGCCATTCTTTGTTAATTCCCCTGCTGGCCTAACGAAAGCTTAAAAGAGTTCTCCTAGGTACCAAATATCTAGACAATACTGACATAAATTGGACCTAGTGTCTCAGGGGAGTTTCAACCTGGTAGAGGAGACAGAGAAGTTTTCTACACAAAAAGAGTATATGCAGGAGCTCGGAGGAGTGCCCAAGGAGAAGGAGATGATTCTAGAAAGTTCTGGGAAGTAGAAAAGTAAATGAATAAATAAAAAAGGGTTGATAGTACAGTGGGTTCCTCAATCTAGCCAGCCTTCAAGGATATCTGTGAGCCCTATCTGCCAAATCTTGCCTCTGGAATCAAATCCAAGGTCAAGTAGAAACCAGCACAGTGGTTCAGGGAGAGAACTCATTCTCCCTGCCATTCCTCTACTTTGGCTCTTGAGGACAAGGGGCAGTGGTACTAGATAAGAACTGGGGCTCCGGGGATCCTTGGCAGGTGTTTTCAAACACTGGGGGCCACTTTTCTCCCAGGATCAAAGGGCAGAGGCTGGGCCTGGCTCTGATAGCAGACTGTAGAAAGCAAGCCAAACCTCCCTCCTGAACATAAAGTAGACTCTGCTGGAAGCTTGAACCTGTAGGACATAGTAGAGGAGCAGGCAGGGCAAGGGGTAGGATCTTGGGTCCTCAACCTGGCCTGGGACCTTGTTTTGACACCTGCTGAGACCCCCATGTTTCCTTAGAGATGAAGCACCGAGTGGCAAGACTCTGTAGAGATGCTCTGTGCTGAGACTTGGCCTTGAGTGACTGAATCCTTAAGTACCTGCTTTCCAGTAGGGTGAAGAAGATCCAGAAACGGTTCCCTGACCGTGACCTGGGAGTAAGTATTTTTCATTGGATTCTTACATTTTTCATTTCTCCTTGGCAGATGAGGAAACTGAGTCTCACAAAGGACAACGTTAGGCCCTTAGCTAGACTACACAGGGAGGAAAGGCAGGGAATCTACTTTGGTAGATACCCAGGGCTCAGAGCTCAACCTCACACCCCTAGCTAGGCAGAGGAAAGGCATCCAAATGCACTCCTGGCTCTAAGTGCATTTTCCCCCAGTTGGAAGCCACCTTCTGCTTCCTGCAGCTCCCAAGCCTCTTGAGTCTTGCAAAGGAAGCAGGCCAGCATGGAGGTAGCTGGGGACCCTTTGTTTCTATCCATCCAGCCCCAGTAGTACCAGGAATTCTTGCTTTGCCCAACCTCTCAAGAGCCACAGAAGAACTCAAAGGATACAGAATCAGTGAAGAGTTCAACAAGCAGGGGGCAGGGAGCCCAAGTGAGCCGAGAAAGCGACATCTGGAAAGCTGGAGCAAGGAAAGAGTGGCTACGGGCAGTACCTTGGACATGGACAGCAGGCATCCAGGTCCAAACAAAACAGGCGACCAGGCAGGCAAAGAGCCACAGTTTCATGGTGCAGGCTAGATCTCCTCTCCGGGTACCTGAAGGTTTAATGAGGCCACCTATGGAAGTGGGAGGGAAGGATAAAGACACCAGTGTCTCAAGCCAGGCCCTGGAACTCTCTGAAAGAGAGGAAGGTGACAAAGGACCCGCTCAAGTCGGAGGAGAACTCACCAGTGCCGGTGTGGTCCAGGGAGCCTGTGCTTGCTTGTAGGGTGTACTGCCTGTGGGATCAATCGATTGGCTTCACCCTTTATAGTCAGAGCCCCGCCCTGCAGTGACTTGCCCTCTCTCTTCTCTCCCTCCCTCCTTTGCTCCTCCCCTCCCCCACTCTGTGAGACTTCGGCTGGGCTTCTACTTCCCACAGACAGACCAAGCTCTCCTTTGCATCTGTCTCTCCAGGTTACCTGCCTCAGGAGCCTTGAAGTTGCCTCCGCTTTACCCAGGCCTCTCAGCCAGCATCTCCTCCCACCACCTTATTACATGGGGTCCAACACTGTCCCCAGCCCTCTCCCTTAACAGTTTGTATCCCCAGCCTCTCATGGATACTCTTATAACTAACTGGCTTTTAAATTGTTTTATTACTTTTAACTTTTTTTTTTTACTGTTTTGTACATGGTTGGAGGCACACACATGCACCATGGCATACCCATGGCATCAGAGGACACAATCTGTTATCTCCTTCCACCATGTGGGTCCTGGGATTGGAACTCAGGCCATTGGACTTGGCGGCAGGTGCTTTTACCCACTGAACCAAGGAACCATCTCGCCTTTTTCTTGCTCTGTTCTAGACTTAGACACACTCGCTCCAACATGAATACATACATACATACAGCAAAGCAAAGCTGAGGCCTGTGGGAGAGAGCTCAGTGTTACTCCCTCTAAAGCCTGGTCACCTGATGGTGCATTTCCCAGTTCATCCATTTTCCTGAAATTTCATAATTTCATTTTCAATGGCTGAATGAAATTATAGCTGATGGTGCACTTTTTAAATTTTATTTATCTGGTGCCGGGGGGTTAGGAGAACCACAGTGAGGAAGGGTGTGGAGATCTGGGGACAACTTGGAGAGTCAGTGGGACCCAGAAATCAAACTAAGGTCATCAGGCTTAGGGCCAGGCACCTCCAGTCATTTTACTGTCAGGAAAGGTCTACTTCCGATGGGGCAGTTAGCGACACGTGAATTTCCCCCAATGTTATATTGGGAATCATCCCAACAAAACTGTTTTTAACAACCACAGCAATGAAAGAAAAATGCTCTGGTTTGGAATGTGAAGCCAGGATCCAAGTAACGGCATCTCCTGTCTGCAGGAAGCAAAACAAGGTTCATCTAGAAAGCATTTCTTCTTCCCTTTGGTTAACTTGACCCACTGGGGGGTAGGTGTTGCAGTAGATCAGGCAGGTGCGGGGAGGGGAGGGAAGGCCTGCCACAGACCTCACAACTTACTGCTTTTAACTTTTTATCTCCCCCATTCGAGGCTGTCTACCCCAGTCCTTTCTAGGGCTATTTCTCACACTCTGAACCTCCTATTTCTCCAGCTCTACTTAGTCCTACTCAGTCGGGGCCTCCTCCCCCAGCCCGGGAGGGGGGGGGGGGGGGGGGGGGGGGGCGGTGCTGGCCAAGCGCAGGTAAGTGAGGCTTAAGGTCTGGCTGGATGAATGGAGCTCAGAGCTCCAGGCATCCAGGGCGGGGCAGAAAGCTGCCATCGAGATTTGAAAAATGGCACCAGGGGACGAGTTTTGAGGAATGGTACTTGAGGCTAAGACTTGCTGGTGCAGATATGAGTGGGCTTGGTGTATAAAATTTACAGCCGGTGTATAACAACAGATGAAGTACTGAATAGAAGAGCTTGTGGCCTAAGGTGGGGCCTTCTGGGTGAGGCTTACATCAGGGTGCAAATTCAGCCACAGCATCCGTTGGGGGAGGAACCCAGCAGTCTTTTTGTAGAGGGGATGCAAGCCCCATCTTAGCCCCCAGACCCGCAAGCTTCTCAGGTTCCTCAGCACCTCTGGATGAGGGTGGGTGAGGCTGGTTTGGGACGCTGCTCCGCGTGGCTGCGGGCTTGGAGACGCAGCGTGGCAAACTAGCCGGCGGCTATGGTCCATTGCTTCCCAATACCTGCTGAGGCCAAGTCTCAGGGGCACTTCTTGGAATGTGTACCCACTTTCCCAACTTAAGGATCAGGGCTTGTCCCACCAGCATCTTTCATGGGGAAGGGGAGAGGGAGTCTAAGAGAGTAGCTTTGTACAGTCACAGGTGCCTGCTCAAGGTGCAGGTGCAGGTGTGTGGGCAGGAGACAGGATGTTCAAGGGTTACAAGGCCATGAATCAAAGACAAAGTTCTAGGCTGGAGACGTAGAGCTGGTAGAGAGCTAGCCTAGAATGCATAAAAATCGAGATTCTAATGCTACCACCACATAAAATTGGAGGTGCACATCTGTAATCTCAGCTCTTGGAGACAGGTGGAGAAAAATCAGAAGTTCAAGGCCAGCCTGGGATATATGAGTCTCCCCCGACCCCCACCGCCACCCCTCACACACACTGCATGAGTTTGGCACCTGGGTGGCTGAGACATCCATATTCAAGGTCTGCCTGGACTGCAGAGTTCAGAGAGTTTAAGAGTAACTTAGTGAGGATCTGCCTTAGTAAAAAGAGGGCTGTGGTAGAGTGTTTGTCTAATATATAACCCTGTACCAATCGGGGAGGATTCAGAAATGCTACAAATCCTAGCACTGGAGAGGCCAAGGTAGGAAGATAATAAGTTTGAGACCAACCTTTGCTGTATAGTGAGATTCTCCTCTCAACAGAACAACAAAAATACTGTTCATGAAATGAGTGGTCCTGCTGGGCAGTGGTGGCACACACCTTTAATCCCAGCACTCAGGAGGCAGAGACCGGCTGATCTCTGTGAGTTCGAGGCCAGCCTGGTCTACAGAGTGAGATCTAGGACAGCACCAAAACTACACAGAGAAACCCTGTCTCAAAAAAAAAAAAAAAAAAAAAAAAAAAAAAAAAAAAAAAGTGCTGGGAGTGTAGGCATGCACCATGCTTAGTTTATGAGGGGCTGGGGCTAGAACCCAGGACTTGGTGCATAGCAAGCCTCGTTTTTTTGTATGTTTGGGTTTTTAATTTATTTTTTAAATTAGCATGTAGAGTACTAGGTATTGTTATGGTGTTTTCAAACTTTAAAATATTTTATTACATCATTATACTATGTATATGTGTGAGCATGTGTAAGACAGAGGACAACCCATGGGAGTTGGTTCTCTCATACCATCGTGTGAGTCTTACAGATTGAACTCAGGCCATCAGGCTCGGCAGCAAACATTTTACCCACCTCAGCACCCCTTTTGGCTTTGTTTTTAAACTTATTTTATGTGTGCGTGTTTTGCCTGCAAATAACCGCTGTCCCAGTTGTGCTCATTAGCTTTGTCAACTTGACTCGACCCAGAATCCCCTGGGAAGAGAGTCTCAGCGAGCGGCTGCCTGGATCCGGTTGGCCTGTGGGAAGGTCTGTCTGGGATCATCCTCTCTGACTTAATTGATGTGGGAAGATCTAGCCTGAAATTGGACATCAACCTTACGTGGTTCGGGGCCCTGGACTGTATGAGAATGGGAGAGTGAAGTAAGCACTGCCCTTGACTGTGAATACAACTGCTTGCCTCACCTTCCTGCCGCCTTGACCTCTCTCAAGGGATCTAGCATGGCAAACACGGCTCTGGCAGGCCTTGCCCTTCCCCATGCTCTCTGCCTTGCTAAAACCCATCAGATTACACTCTGAAAGCTAGCCCCCAAGGTCGTCTATTCCCTTATTTGGACATTTCCTCCCTCCCCCACTCCCCCACTCCCCTACCCTCTC